TTTCTGTCTTTGATTAGAATTTTTACACAAAGCCACACAAGAGCTATCTGACCAAACCGTTATTCAACTTATAGACTAAATGGAAGGATGCTAGAGAACAACACCTATCGCCAACTCTCGTGCTACTTTAATAGAATAATGAGATTCATCCTTCACTCATATGCACGGCCTTAAAATGCGGAGAGTGTGATTTAACGGCAATTGGTTGCGAACCATGGACCCTCGAATTAACAGTCCGGCATGCTATACACTAGGTTATACCCAGCCTTAATAATTTCATGAAAACTAACCTGTTTCAAATTCTCATCACTTTCTTTCATCCTCTGTTCGTAGTTCCTGATGAAATCCCTCAGCTCCTTCTCCTTGTCTTCCAGGGTGCTATACAACTGCTTCATTTGATTCAAAAGGTCGAACTTTTCCATCTTCAGTCTCTTACGGTCTTGCTTTAAAGCTGGTGTGAACATTTCAAATTCATTAGTTTGTTATCAACAATTTAATATTTTATGCTTTTGTCTGGTAAATTTTGTACAAGCCTATTTGATATGTCCCTAATTTTGAAGTGATAGACTAGAGGAGAGACAGTTAGTTAATACCACCCACCTCTAACTCTTGGACTTCTCTTTAACAACAAATGGTGGGATTGACTATAAAATTATAACGTTCCCACGGCTGAAAAGGCGATCATATTCAGATACGGGATTCGAACCCGGACTCGCGGATTGCGAGTTGAGTACTCTAAACACCATGCCTTGCTAGGCTTAAGTTTTTGCACTATTATTTATGTAAGAAACGTGTTAAATAACGGCATTACAGAATGACTTTGATTTCAATAGAAATGGTGGTACGCTATCGTCGGCTACCCTATATAATAGTGATAAACAACAGTGTTACAGATTGACTTTTAATAGAAATGCTGGTACACTATCGTCGGCTACTCAATATTATTCCCAACCAGAAGTGTAAGTTTTCGCTACCTTCTTAACCACTCAGAAAAACACGGATAAGAATTTAGAAAAGCGATTTTCGGTAATATATATGATTTAACTGTATTTTATATACATAAACAAGAAACATACAGTTGCTTTATTTAGAAATATTATAATACATTTATCACCTGTTTACAGTTACTAGGTTATCACTTTCACCATACACTATTTCAAAATGACATCAAATATTTCAAGCACTATTTAATCTTTCGAAGGTTATTTTTAATCAAATATTGACTGTAAAAATCATGATATCCCAAGCCATGTCATAACACTTTGACCCCATATCCCAAGCCATGTCATAACACTTTGACCCCATATCCCAAGCCATGTCATAACACTTTGACCCCATATTCCAAGCCCTGTCATAACACTTTGACTCCATATTACGATAGTCAAATCCCCACTATAACACTTTCAGCCCAAATTACAATAGTCCAAACCCCGTCATAATGCTTTGTCCTTATCATAATTGTGTTACGCTGAAAATACATTTCCATTAATATAATATTCCAAACAAACATAAGGATGGAAGATCAATTATATAAATAAATTATTATAACAACTTTAAAATTAAAATATGTATGTTTATTTGCACTATTTTTCCCCTTCAATATTAATTAGATCTATTTGTCGTACCAGGGGGGTTGAATGAACGAGAGACTTGAAACCCTCTCCGTCACAGAAATATTCCCCCTGTTAGCTCAGTTTGAGGGACTATTATGTGATATTCGGTGTTCGATCCCTGCAGTGAACGTATTTCAACAGCCTCTTATGCAGTTTTGAGTTTAACAACAAACAGATTACGCTGCATGATGCCAGCTGGACATAAGACGATCGTTATTCATAGAACTGAAGAAAAAAAATTAACTCTTTGAAGTAGGTTAAAAGTTGTACAGTAAATTATTCTGTGTATTGAAAGCAGTTTAAGTTGGATTTTCTCTCCCTCATAAAATTAAGATTCCCTTTTTTAAACAATCACCATCTTATTTAAATAGATTTATCCATATAGCTTCCACCCAATTACCCATTCCATGAAGCTCACTGCAACCCAGTCTCAAAACAAGCACAGAAATACGCTCCAACCCGAGAAGCGTATGTGACTAATGCCACTCGGTTGTTGGTAAACGGGGGCGTCTACGAAATAAAATGGTGCACAGTAACCAGTATTCTACACTTAACTAGTAGATGATAAATCTTCGCAACGGTGACGTATTTAGTGGCCACGTGAGTGTCTTTCAATGCAGCTTAGAAAGTATCGTCACTCTTCTTCCTGGTGTTAGCCAATAACACGTGTAAACACCAGAACTTTCCGGTTCCGAACATTTTGAAAATGTTTACGATCTCTATAAACTATCTGTTGTAAGCAGTTTTCGGTCAAAACTAGGGTTCATCAAGCTTAATGGATTTCAACTGTTGTACACTATTCTTATCGGACTACAGTAATGGACCAGTTAAGATTAGTGTGTTTGAATTATTTTAAGTTTGTATGTGGGAAATTCCATCACATTTATGACTTGTCTCTCAGACGACTGGCATAAAAAGTAATGTTCAAAATTTTAGTCAGATCTGTAACTAAAGGGCTAATTAAACAGTATAAGAACCTCCAAGAGCTTCCTTGGCGTGAAGAAGTTCAGTTTCCAGCCGTTCCTTCTCGGGGCGGAGCTCATCCTCTTGCGCATGTGTGTTCTCTTTATGAGACCTCAGTTCTTCTAACTCCCTCTGGAGGGAACGGTTCTGTTGACTGAGTTTGTAGTTTAGTTTTTCTTGTTGGGAGAGGCGTTCTTCTAACTGATTTACATCTTCGTGTGTACAATCTGGAAATACACAACAATACCAAATAAACCCCTAAACAACAATAGTTATTTCCAACAATGTCTTAAGAATATGTCAACAAGAATAAAAATAAAACACGAAAATTTCAACAATAACTGCAGCTTTTAGAAACATTTACAGGAAAAGTAAATTAAATGCTTCTCGAAAGTTTTGAGATATTTATAGATCTTGTAAGACATTACCATACAAATTATTTCACTTACTAAAGGCTTCACGTAAATTCTGCGTACACAATAACATAATATTACTTTTGTAAAGTTAAGCGAGAACTTAATACCACATAATCATAGTACCTATTGACAGTATTGTTGCACTGAAACTAAATATTGTGATGGAAAATTGCTTTAAAAGGTTAGTAATGAAGCTTGTTAAGCCTAAAATGTGTGATTAAGACACGCTTCACTAGGGTTTTCTTTTTTAATTTATACTTAATTAGTGCAATGCAGATGTCAAATCAGAGGTGTGTAAAATCTTTTGTCTGCCATAAGTCAATACAAGGAGGCCTTTCGTTCGACACCAGAAAACACTCTGATATTAATCATATATGTTAAGCCTAATATTTCAGCTTGTATACATTGTCACATTACAATTTGTTTCTCATCAGTAAAACCTAGCGTATTGCAGATAAATTAGTGTATGCTTATTTTCTACGGTTATATACCAACTGTAGAGGACGAGTATTTTTTAAATGTTATTCTCGTGAATATGCACAAGGGCTATCTGCGCTGTCCGTCCATAATTTTGAAGTGATAGACTATAGGGAATGCAGCTAGTCAATGCCAACCACCGAAAAGTCTTGGGCTACTCTAACTGAATAGTGGGGTTTGACCATTACTCTTATAACGCATTCACGGCTCCAAACTGTGTTCGATGCAAAGTTATTCTGTATCTTCTGTGATTATAAAAGTATTTAGAGCATAAAGTTTTAGCATTTCGGAGAATTGTTTGTTTGTTTGTTTTTAATTTCACGCAAAGTTACACGAGGGCTATCTG